TGATCTCCAGAGGTCCCTTCCAACCTAAACGACTCTGTGATTCTGTGATTCTGTGATCCTTAGTCATATACTATTTTTTGACCAATCTACTGCTGCTATTTCACAGTGTTTTTCTATTTTTTTCCTGTTAGTCGAATTTCTAGGAGGAGCATTCCATCCATAATAATCATAGTTCTATTATGCTTCTACTAGTATTCATGCTGCTGTTCTTTCTAGTGCCTGTGGACCTTCATAATTCTGCTTTAAAACACAGCAAAGATTTTAGGATTTTAACGTGATGAATTAAAAATTGATCTATTAGGCCTGTATTATTTTGTATTCATATTCATCAATACTGTACTTATCCTTTAGAAGAGTACATGAACTCTCCTTCTCCTTCTCCACACACCCTTCTCAAAAAAGTCAAGCACATTTATTCTCTTCACTCTCCTAAGCAAGAGGATAAATCCCCAACCCTGACCGTTCTTCACTGACAATCACAAAGACCGCTGCCTAATGTCCAGGCCTGAGATTAACATCAACTCATCAGCTGAGTTGACTAAGTTGAACCCATAGTTCTAGAGTTATGGGAGGATGGTGCCTCTCAGAAACCATGTAGGCTTCAATGTGGCCTTCTGAAGTGCTTTCAAGATATGCTGTTAATGAATAAAACACTAAATAATATTGGTAAGCTTCTGCTGTTTAGTTTTTCAATTTTTTAATGTGATTTTGAAGGAGCACAAAATAGTACATTCAATAAAGTTAAAAGAAATAGCCTTCAATTACTGTTAAATACACCTACAATGTTAGCTGATATTTTGCTCTGTGTTTGTACTGGAGCAGATTTGATTGTGTAATTTTGCTTTGTAGACAGAGCAGGGGACACCTGCATTCACCTTAGAAATTTTTTGTATCTAGATAGAGAATATATTTACACAGGAAAATCCATTTTGTTATAGATGAAGATATTGAAAACAGTAGGGTATATATCTATATTGTGTTACAATAATAGCTAATGACTACATACTACACTATTGATAAAATAAGAGATATATACAGAAAGAATTGGCATTTATTGTGGAAACAAGACACTAGAGATGATCAATGAGAAGGTTTTTCATATTGCATGTTTTTTATTATTTTATTCATTTAGAGTAGATAATTTATATTGAGATAATGCAGTGATGGGAAGGGTGTAATAGTAGGACAAAAACGTATCAGAGGTAATGTGATTCCCACAGTTCCCCTGAAAACTGTTTCACCACCCAATGTCTCTTATTCCCATTTCTTAGTTCCATTCTGTCTTCCTTTTCTAACTTCCCTAACTCATCAGTTAACTCCTAACATTTAGTATTGTCTTAATGGTTTTCTTCCTCAGTATTTTTGTTCTTCAAGTTTTACTCCTTGTTTTCGTAGAATCTTATAACTATATTATAGTTAATAGAAAAATTGATTTATTAGGGTTGAAATCTGTCCTATTAATAGTTGTTGAAGTTCATTCAAGTTTGCTATATCTTTTTGAACCTAAGTAGACCAAAAAGAATGAATTTTCAATATGATCTTACCAGACATTTACAAAACTTTTTTTGATGCCTCTTGTATTACATATAGTGGAAGCTATAATTATATCTGAAAAAGAGGACAGTAACCTTTGGCTAGTACAAAAATCTTACAGTTCTAGATTTTTAAAAACTGGCTCAAGTAATTGTAATTTTCAAGACTTATGAAAGAGTAAAGAATACTCCTGAAATTCCCCGAAATGGAAGATTCCTAGGCAGATCACCATCTGATATTTATGATACTCTTCTACACTAGGTAGAAAGCAAAAATCCATCAAGCCCTATGAGCCAGTCTGTATACCTGTTGTATCTTCATCTAAACATGCCTATTCAGTCAACAGTGTTTAGTTTTAGAACCTTTTAGGCAATTAGATCTCTTTTATATACTGTAAAAATGAATCACATTTTTAAATGTAGTCATTAATACTTTTTAGAGATATAGTTATAAATAGGTTTTTGTACTGAGATAAGTTGGATTTTTGTATTTAAAACTTTTACTTTTTAGGGTGAAAATTAAATATCGGGTTGGGGGGATTTTACCAAAAAAATGGTTGCAGAATGTTCTTTCCTAGCTGTCTTTTTTCTTACTCTGTAAGTTACAGTTCCAATGTCTGAAAGCTGAATCTATTTGAATAGGTGATGGAAAGCTTAGAGTGTTATAATTACACAGAAAATTTTAGTTGTTAGACTCTGCTCATCTTTAATTTGCTAGTAATTAATTATATATTTGATTATGTATCTGAAATGTATGAAACATCTTTCCTGAAATACAATTTTTACAAGCACCACACTAATATGCAGTGTCCTAACATGCTACAGAAGAGCTGGACTTCCTTACCAAAGTTAAGTATTGTAATCCCATTCACTAGGATTAATATTTTGATTTTCAGGAGGCAATAGCCGTTATTAGGAAGATTTAAGTGGAGATTCAGTTCTTATGCATTGCCTGAAGTAGTGAGGTGTTGTAACCGTGCTGAAACTCTAGCTAATTAATTTCTTCCTGTGCTAAATATATGATTGATTTTTATCTTTACTTGATGATACTTGGTGTATCAAGCAAACTTGGTCTAATGAAAGTTGTTATTTTTGCAAAGTGTTCTATCCAGTTGCAAATAACATGTCCTCCTAATTCCTGTTACATAAAATGTTATGTAAGTAGACAAATATATAGTTACGTGCTGCAAATATTTCATTACTGACACAGAGAAAGGATTTCCTGTAGAACAGATGGCTCTTGCAGTGTTATCCGAACTGTTCATCTAAACCAGCATTGTCTGGAACCTAATGCCCTCAGGCAAGGATCCGACCCAGTTGTGGAGAGGCACCATACAGTCATGACAGATGGTCATGTGTGGAGGCAGTCAGAAGACCATACATATGTACCAAGGGTAGTTGTTGAGAGCTCACAGTGGAGAATATTCAGTAGGCTTATGGTTATGGAGTGTCCTACTCTAAACAATATTAATATAAAAAAAATGAAGGCACATGAGAACTTATATCAGATAGAATGAAGCAGGCAATAGCTTCTCAGCCCTTCACCTGTGTTTCACTGAAAAGATTAATAGGGGGCAGAAATTTGTTTCATTAGCTTCAGTCAGCTTAAAGAAGATATAAAATTTAGTGAGTCATCTGCAATGAGTTGAATGCCTGACAGTAAATACTTAGAATGATACGTTTATGGCTTTTGAAAAGCAAAATGAAAATGCACTAATATTCCAAATAGTTGTTGCATTAAGGCTTAGTGTTTCCTAGAATAATTATCAATTTTATGCATAAATCTGAATGAAATCTTAATTAGGCCTGCTTGAGGTTGTAAAGCTGAAGGACACAAAACATAGTTTAAATAGTGAAGTGGACTTTTCAGTCAAGAGATTTATCCAGACTTCTACTGTATTCAGAATCAGCTTTAATCACCTGGAGATGCTCTTTAACAGGGGCAGAAGTCTTACATCAAAGGTTGACTTTTTATCCAGTTAATGGTTGCTTTCCACATCTGCAAAGAGATTTTCTCTGCTTTTCAGCCTGGAAGAGCATTATTTTGAGGGATATACCTAATGACAGAGATTTCAGTGGGGCAGGGTAGAAAGAATATCAAAACACAGTAGGGATTAAAATATCTGATGGGAAACATGATAATAGATTATAAAGAGGCAAAGGAATTAGCTGGAAAAATATAATAGAGGAAGAGAATGAATGCATTTAAAATTGAACTGATTGAAGCCTTAATGACTGACATGTCTAGAAAGTAGCTGCAATTAGCGTTGCATTTAAAAGTTTACTAATCTTTTTTTATCATCTTTCCCAACAAAACATTAAAGGAGGCACAGGTACAACTATCATTCATTTCTTTTTGGTTGGCATACTGAACTGAAATTCTGAAGTGCCCATTGCTCCCTTAGGAGACTATCCAAGAGCTAGGATTCTTCAGATTGAAAGAAGTCTTTAGACATGGTCTTTTCTTTAGACACGTCCCAGCAGTCAGTGAGGGTATCAAGAAGGGTTTTACCACAGAAGCCCTATGATGCTTATATTCCAAATGGCTCTAATCCATAAAACAAATCATCTGGGGATCAAATCTTGTGACTTTAGAGCTGCTTTTCAACATTATCAAATGGCTTGAGATCTAGCCCATTGTGTATATAGTTAAAATAGATCTGATTTTGCTTTTACAAACTCTCCAGTTATCTGGCTATATTGCTATTGAAATGTAGGGTGTTAAACTAGTGTAAAATCAGCGTGGAAGGAGAATATGACCCTGTGATTGTTTTTCCAGTCATTTAATAATGATTAATGTTTGCAGTGAATTGTGTTTGCGATTTTCATAGTAGGTGGATAAAATGACTTTTCTTTATTTGAAAAGGCCTGACACTGCAATGTGTCTGCAATGCTAGCTATATTTTAACTCTGATGTTTACACCTCTGAACTACCCACATAGCTACCAGTCTGTGCGTTTGAGAGAAAGTGGAATGTATCAGCAGCTGACAAAACAAAAGGATAACTCGATCTGGATAGGGTTAAAGTTTAATACAAAATGCTACTGAATATCTGAAATTTCTATTCAGAGGGGTAGGTAATGTATTTGACTTACCAGATTCATGTCCAGAGTGTCTCTGTGGAGTACTATAGAAACATAACAGGACTGGAAAAGTCTCGTGGAGGAGGGAATATCTATGCCTGTGAGGTGTGAAGAAGAAGCAAGAGATGACTGGGGAAAGGACTGTAAAAGGATCTCATCTTTGTTTTTTTCAGATTTGCTCTGTGCTATATAGAATATAATTTACACTTGGAAAGTTAATGTGTATGACACTCTGCTAAGAGGGAGTGGAACATTTGAGGTGGCCTAGCTTGTTTCGAATTTGTAATGTGGTATGCCCAGTCAATGGTGCTCTCATAGCCTGAATGATAAAAGTATTGCAGGAAGCTAAAACAGGTTTGCATATTCATTAGACTGTATTTGTCAGACTTCAGGACTGCAAGTAGAGGAAGAAGAAGTTAAAAAAAACAAACTGCCAGTGCAAAGTGAAACTGAAAATATAGTGCTTGAGGAGAAAAGAGAATTCCAAAAGGACCATCTTACAAAACAGAAAGATCTTACAAAGCAAGAGCTGACCAACAAGGTAATGTTCTAATTATTACAAGGTAATATATTTAAGTATATATTTTATATAAATCTACTGACCTTCAGTAAAAGTCTTTGGATCTGCCAGAACTACTGCTTCTTGAGCCTTTTAGTTGCTATAGTAATGATACTAGTAGACATTTCTGTAGTGGCTTCATCCCAGAACCTTACAGAATTTCTCATAACATTTCTCTGAGAGAATTACTATTACCTCCACTTCCCAGAAAAAAGAGTGAAGATTCAAGATCGCACAGCATGTGTCTAAGCTATATGGCATAACTTCTCCATGGGCACCCTCATGAGTATCTTCATCCAATCACACAGACTGGAAACGTGCCACAGCTCCTTTCTAGTCTTTGTGCCTTGGTTTTCCCAGCTCTTACGCTAGATGTGGAACTAATTTGAATCAGGACATCCACACAAAACCAAAGATCAGTAAGCACTCCTGGGTCCCAAGGATAGGTATGATCATGAAAATCAAGATTAGAGCTGAGAGTCAGGAATCCAGTTCTTTATTCTAATCACTTGACTATATACTCTCTACAAATGACCATCTTTGCCATGGGGAACTTAAAACAATAGATCTAGGTCTTGAGTCCTCTTCCATTCAAGGCAATGATAATTTTGCCATTGTTAGCAGTAAGATGATATTTAGACAAATATATGTAGACAATTTATTGTATTATTGTATTATATTGTCACTGAAAAGTTGCCTAACTGTAATAATCCTTATGCGCAAAGGAAATATTAATCTAACTTCAAATTACTGGCAGAGGCTACAGAGTCTTTCAGCTTTTTAACAAAATTCTGGAAATATCTAACAGCCCAAAATAGGAAAGCTTGTTCCAAGAATCAGAGAAGAGCATTGCATATGAGCAAAACTTTGCGTTTGTTTTCATCTCGTTGGCAAAGAAAATAAATATTGTTTTATTGAAATTCAGATAACATATGTAGCACCTGAGCAGAAAGCTGCTAAAAGAACCCTAACTGCTGAAAACGATAAACTGAAGCAATATAAAGGTCAACAAAGGCAAACCACAGAAAGGTAGTGGCCAAAATTCTTAAGATGTGCTTTGAAGACATTTAAGAAGCCTCTACATAGTTTTAACTTATTTTTTGCACTTTTTTTTCAGTCTTAGAGAAACAGCTGAGCAAAGTAATATAATATGGAAAAAGAAATTCCAGATTCTGCAAAAGAGGTTTAGTATTATAACACCATTAGTTGTATTTATAAAATACCCTAGATCTATAGTTTTTGCAAATTATATTCATGAAAATTAAGAGAGTCACATACATTATTCAGTTACCTAGTCATTAGCATTTGATGATGTAATATCTAGGTTAGTAAAATTAGAAATGAAGGATATTACATTGAATGTTATAGCGTTAACCTGTTTGTAATAATAATAAACGCTTCAGACAGGTAATTTTGTATGATTATGTAAATAATACTCAGTGTTCTTAAAAACAAAACTTGTGTGCATTCTGTTAGATTACATTTTTCTTTAAAGAGCCTTTATGGTAGTCTTGAATGAAATTTTAAGCTACTAATACTCTTCTTTTTCTCTCTCTCTCTATTTATCTCTCTCTGTTTTCATTCCTACTGTTTTTCTTTCTCAGATATCTTTCTCATCTCCCCTATTTCATACTTCACTATTTTCTGTCACTAACCTTTCTCTATCCCAGAATCACAGTATTTTCTTCTGTTTTGCATTCCATTCCTGTTGTCCTCTATACACCTCTTCTGCTCAGCCAGTTTTCTCCTCTGCTCTATCCATCCTCTCTAAAATCTTTAACTTCCTGCTCTGTATTCTGAAACATTTTGACTGAAAAAGCCAAACCCACAAACTCCCTCCAATCATCAAAAATGTAATGAAATTCTAGCAAATTAACACTATGGTAACCCGTGGAGCTCTGCTTGTATTCCTAGAGACCTTTTGAGCATTTTAGTGCTTCTAGGTAACACAGATCAAGCGCAACTGTTTGTGTCATAGCTCTCAGGCTTGCCATGGACTTGTGACTGAAATTGGAAGCCTTGGAAAACCTATGAATTTCCTTGGTCTAAAGCTGGTCCCACTGTAGAGCCTGCCCACTGAAAAAACCTTATGGTGTTTCAAAAAAAGTAACACTTGAACAGCTGGGTATATAGGACTACATCTATATTGACAAATTTTAATGGTGTAGAAACCCACATTTGTTCTGGGGTCTTGGTTCCTGATTAACCACCGTACATCTTTATTGCTTCACTCATGTTTGCTTTTGGAGTAAAGCAACCAATTCCTTCAAGACAAAACCCCAGAGCAGTTCTGGTACTGGTTTGTTCCCTGTAAGCAGATGAGATAGCACTAGGTTTGGCTCACGCTGCACAAGGTGACCACCTGCTGCTACCTCAACACACCTTGAATTTTCAAGCATGCCCACATACTGTCAGGCCACATCTCAGAGAACGCAACACGTATGTTTGGCATCATGTTTTAGAAACACTAGTCTCATAAGCCATTACACAGCCCTGTGTTTTTTTAGGTAGAAAACTACAGCTTAAAAATATCTTAAATTCACAAATTTGCCCCACGGGACTCATCCTGGCCCGGTACTATGCAGCGTGAATGTAGCCAGTCCACTCTGGAGGGCAGTAGTAGTGATCAGAGTGGACAAAAAGTTGTGTGGCATCTCTTATGACTATGATTTTTCTCTCCAAAGCATTATATTTTGGTAGTGCATCTCTAATGCTGGTGACCATCCAGAATCTTTACTGTCTGAAGAAACAAGAGAGATTTACTAACACTGAACTCCACAGCACATGGAGTGGAAAACCTCAGTAACCTCAGTGCTAACCAGGGTTGTCAGAGCTTCCAGAGTCCGTGCTGCGGACCTGGGAAGTGAAGTCTGAAAGCTTTAGGATAAGCTTCTGGAAGCTGTAGGGTTTATAGCCATGGATAGTTTGCATGTAGATATTGCCTAGAACGGCAAATATGAGAGCCCTAGCAGCGGCTGAATTACTTCAAGATGTGCTCAGTAAGATCTTTGCAACTATTGTAGGGAAGAGTCAGACAAACTTTAATTACAGTCAGAATTTATGGAGTCCTAGAGGAATGTAATTAAACTTGTAAGCATCTTGTTTCCTTCTTTCCAAAATATCTTTTTCAGAATATCAAATTTATTTCAAATCCAACCTGACTTCTAAAGAACAAAATTTCCCACCAACTAAACATTCTACTGTTTTTCAGCTAGTTCTTTTCCTATAGTTTTTTATCTCCACAACATCTCTCAGAAGTGTGGAAATACAGTAATTCCTGGCCTAGAGATGATTAGCTATAGTGAAGGTATATCTATTACACAGCAAACTCTCTGTATTGTACTTCATGCTTGTGCAATTTTATACAATATCCCTAAAATCAGGGGAAAGTTTCTTGTTAAATTCAGTATTCATTGAAACAGTCCCCTGCTTATCCTCGCATCTGAAAATGGTGAGAATATATTATGAGAACAATCTAATGACAGTGTTATCAGTGTTCTTAGTAATAATGCAAGTCCTCTGTTGTGATTCAAGTCTCGTAGAAAAATAAACTTATACCATTGTTATCTACTCAAATCTATCTTAATGAGTATTCAGTGAGCTACCTGAATACTGTTAGCTGCCAGAGGGTTTTTTAACGGAGCCCATTAAAATTGCGTGCTTAAAAAAGAGCTGAATTTGTCACTTTATAGATAACTAGTCCTTGTAACATCATAAAAATAGATTCATTTCGATAAAGATCCAGTTAATGGTGAGATAAATAGAATATAGCAACATTATAATTTTGACTTCATTTTTTTCTGATAGTTTATTAAAGACCACATAGAATATTTTTTCATGACAGTGTGACTACTTGCACAGCATATTTACTTGAATTTAGCCTGTGTACTAATGATATAAATTATGATTTTATTATGCTCATATTTTATTTTTTTACTATAAAATATGTGAGCCCTCTGGTGGCCAAAATAACTTCTATGTATTTTATGAATATCATCAAAGACCATGTGGCCTAGAGGATAAAGTACCTGAAAAATATTTAGAAAATATTGAATTTAAATATATTTAGTTAGTATTGCTAATGTAAATTATCTTTCATTTTTATACCATTTAAATCTGTTCTTAGCAATTTTCCTCTACTTTTCTAAAGAAGTTTTTCTTTTCTTCTTTTTTTGAATTTACTATTTGTAGCTAAAATGCTTATGAAGTTCTTGTTTTGTAACCAGACACAAACAGGGCACAGAACCCCAAACGTTCTAACAACTTTTCCATTCTGATAAACTGCCCTGAAAGATGCTACTTAATGTAAAACATTTATTTTTAGTGTTACAGGCATTTTTACATTAAAAACCTTATATAGATCACTAATATGTGTCATATAGGATCAGATATGACTATTAGAAAGAGCTATCTTTTATTCATTACTGAACTGGAGCTGAACTCTGTGTAGTGATTTTGAGGCAAGAGAGACTGTATTTCACAGCCAGTCACCACTGCTTCCTGAGAAATACGGGAGAAAATAATCCAAACTGTCCAAAAAATACATTCATATTTAGGAAAAATTCTTATCACCTGATAGAATTATTGTCATCTTTTCTGAGGTTTTACTCTTCCCTTAATTAAAAACGTCTGTTTCTGTAGTATAATACTTTTCTTTGTAAAGAAAGCGGAAAAATTTCACAGCTGTTCAAATTACCTCATAAGCTGGACCTTGAAAAATTAGGTAGAAATTTTCACTGATTAAACAAAGTGTCAAAACTCTATAGTTAAAGTTATAGTAAATTTACAGATAGGAAAAGGGCTATATTGTAATTTG